CAGACTCGGTGCATGCTTTTCAAATTGAATACGAACCGGTAAAGATAGACTCACTATTTTGCTCGTTGTAGATCGTAAGCAGGGCTCGGTATATTAGGTCGCTTAGCTAGTTGGTTTGCAACAAGGTAAACATCTTATCTTTACCGAAAAACTGGTATTCCTGGCTTTCGAGACGGTTGCGCATGGGAGATTGCATCTTTTGCCGACGAAGTATTAATTCGCGAGCATATCACGCTTTTCCCGAGTTTTTAAATCTTCCATGTTAAACACAATATAAAAATATATGCAGTGTCGCTCGGCAAAACGTTGCATCTCAGAGAGGCTAACCCTCACTCAGTACTCTTGGCACTTGAGCCTCCTAGTTTCCTAAAATGATCCATCAGTGGCGTGTTAGTTGACTCATCGTCGATCTCGTGCGGGGCCACGTTTGAGTACTGGATGATGTCTAGCTCGCGCTCAATATTGCGTTCGTGAAGCTCTGAGAGGATTCTTTCGACGTGATCGCGTGAAGTTTGACTCCCTCGAGCAGTCTGACGAGACATGAGGCCGTTTGACTTTGTCTTGTATGTGGGCCCGGTTAAGATTGAGGAAATCGGGTAATGAACAATTCTTTCGCCGGGAACATCACGATTTTGGGAGAGATTGTCTAAATCTTAGTAACGTCTATTCCGAAGTAGATTAACCTCATCGCGATGAATGGGGTTTATACCTGAAATGCGTATATCCCGACATCTATACACAATTCCAGCTGGTCCACATATGTTCCCGGCGGGTTATCCCGGTTATTCCAATTTTTCAGCCAACTGGGGAAGCGTCCTATTGCAATAACATATTGAGTAGATGCCTTCACGAGAGGCAATAATTTTATTTCTTTCACCAAGGTGATAGGCGATGTGAAATGTTCTTTGGTGGAGACCGCTGAGCTCACACACTCCGTCACACCACACTAGAACACATTCTAGAAGGTTACAGCTGGAAGAACATGTCTAATTGCGACTTTCTGTAGCCTGTGGTTGACACCGTAGAACCATCTTCAAATTGCATAGCGGCACTGTGATAGTGTACTCGGTAAGCAAAGTTTTGCTTCTTTCCAGCAACAAACTTGATCAAGTTATCTCCAGAGTCTGGGAACACTAATTATCGATTTTGTGCTTCTATCAAACGGATGTGTACGCTATTCTCAACCTAATCTATGTTGGATTTATTGCACCGAGTTGGGTTCGAAGGGTATAATAATATAGCATAAATAAATAATTGCTACAGTTATTGAAATTTACCAAGCCTGATCGAAATAAAAAACTATTTTCTTGCGATAATAAGCCTTGATAGAAAAATATCTGAAATCCTCTTGCGGTAGTAACGCATTCAGCAGATACACAGCAGACGATTGGTCAGTCCACTTATCTTACTGGAGTAAGAGGATAACAACAGGCAAGTACTTCACTATACAACGACGAGGACATCTCTCTATTTTTTGTTTTTCACCGTTAATTTGACGAGGGAACCATTTTCGCAACCGGCGAAAAATCAAAATTCAAAATTGCCCATAAAGGTCCCGCAAATGGTCTCACTACATTATTCATGTCCACTACTTTGTCGTCTAGTAGATCAATAAATGCAATCACCTGTAAGGCACAAACACCTGTAAGGCACGGAGTTGGTTCTCAGCATCACGCCATGCCCGAAACAGTGTGATTCTGTTGGCAAACTCCTTCCTTCTACAGGCATAAAATATGTGAAAGGGCATAATGGCCCTCAGATGGTATTTGTCGTTCGCTGTGCCATGACTCTATCACGGCGGTGGAGTGGCATGACTTGGGGGTTACAGTTCAACCGGTACATAATATGTACTTCATATTATGAAGTTCATTGCGAGTATCCTGGCCACTTCAACTTTATTCGTACTTAAACGAACCATTCTGATTCACAGTTTCATCCAATCGTCACCATCTGATCACATCTCGATATTCGTCCAATCCCGCGCCTCAACGTCGTCATACTCAGTTCAAGATATTCCACACCCTTTGTCACCAACGGAGATCTGCCGTGTTGGTTTCATTATTAGCGCCTCACCCCCAAGAACGTCACTAAGCCCCGGCGCCTCCATCGTCCCCCTCTCGTCTGTGTGAGTCCGTGCCGTGCGTAGCGTCAACGTCCACGTCCACGTCGTCCCCTTCTTCGTCTCCTCTCCCTCCCCTCATAATGGACGCCTCCCAATACGACCCGGAGGCCGCGTCCGCCGACCCGTCCGTCAGTCCCAACGCTGAAGGGTACGGCGACCCACAGCAGCACAACGGCCCTGTCAAGCTCTTCGTGGGCCAAGTGCCTCGCACCATGGAAGAGGACGATCTGCGCCCCGTTCTCGAGGTCTTCGGGCCGCTAGAGGACCTAGTAATCATCCGAGACAAGATCACAGGCGCTCATCGCGGTTGTGCCTTCGCCTCGTATTTTACACGCGACGCGGCCGAGAAGGCCGTACAGGAGCTGCACAACAAAGTAACACTTCCGCAGAGTATCAATCCGCTTCAAGTCCGTCCCGCTGAGGGACAGGCGGGTGCTTCCCAGGAACACAAACTCTTCATCGGAATGATCCCAAAGACAGCGGATGAAGCTGCTATTCGTGAGGTTTTCGAGCTCTTCGGTACTATTGAGGAGGTCTACATCCTGCGTCACCCCGCTACGGGCCAAAGTAAGGGCTGTGCCTTCCTGAAATTCAAGGAACGCAGCTCAGCTCTTGCTGCTATTGAAGAAGTCAATGGAAACGTCACGATGGACCGCGGCACGTCGCCTCTGGTCGTCAAGTTCGCGGATAGTCGTCGTCAGCGTCTTCAACGTGCTCGGAACTTGGCAGCCGCGGCCAACGCGTACTGGCCGCTGCCTCCCGGCGCTGGACTAGCGTTCCCACAGCTGCAACAACTACAACAGCAATATATGCAGCAGATGCAGGCGTTCGGAGCCCAAGCAGCGGCTGGACTGAACCCGACTGTCGCTGGCCTTGGCTCTCCAGTCGGAGCCGCTGCCGGCGGCCCTGGAAGTCCCACCAACTCGTTCATGTACTACAATCCGTACGGCTTCGCTGCTGGAGCAAGTCCGTACGGCTTCGGTGGTTTGCCCAATGTTGGCGCTGCTGGCTTCGATATGCAGGCAGGTCTGGGTGCAGGATTGGACCTGCAAGGCCAGGGCGTGGAGGCTGCTAAGGCTTCACGTACCACCAGTCAACTGGAAGGCCCCACCGGCGCCAATTTGTTCATCTACCACTTGCCGCACGACCTCACAGACGCTGACCTGGCTACTGCCTTTGCTCCATTCGGTACAGTTATCAGTGCCAAGGTGTATATGGACAAGATCACGGGTGAGAGCAAAGGCTTTGGCTTCGTAAGTTACGACAGCGCGGATGCTGCGGACGCCGCTATTGCCAGTATGAACGGCTTCCAGATCGGTACCAAGAGACTGAAGGTCCAGCACAAGCGCATCCATCAGAGAAACGAGTATCTTGGCGGCTCTAGCGGCCTCGGCCATGAGGATGAACTGGGGATGGATTATCACCAGACGCAAGGCATCCCCGGATTGGATGAAAATCTGCACAGTGAGGACAGCGGCGCCAAGTCTCCTAGCAGCGCTGCGGAAGGCAACAACGGCGTCGACACGTCACTAGACGAGGCCGTGCAGAACCTGCGCATTGACGCGTAAATTGTGTTTTTTTGTGACTCGTCGATCATGTCAGTCAAGTCGGTCATTGGTTGGTGGTGAGTTTTGAGGCGTCAAGGTGTACAGAATGCCGTGTACAAAACAGCGATGCGATACAGAAGGACAACGCACGAGGCACGAGAAACGAGAGCTTTTGCGAGCAACGAGCATCAAGATACAAGAAGAAAACCACAAGATAGTAGTGAAAAACATCCAGAAGCCAAGCGTATGTTAATCATCAGTATGTATTTCACTTACTCAGCGTGTATTGCCATTATTCTCTTCAGACGTATGTAACAATAATTGTTACATTGACTGTAACATTCGACGTTTTAAGTTACGACCATTTAGCGAGCAGACCGAAGATTGCGTAACCTGCCACCAATGCGATCGACTTCTGCAGCGTCGCCTTGTTCTTGTGGTGGCCGTGGCCTTCGTCACCTCCGTGACTGTGTCGTGGGAATTCCTGTGGGATGACTTCCATGACTGCCACGTAAATGAATGTCCCCGACGCTAGAGCCACACAGATCCCTGCCGCTGCTGAGTCCTCGGACGAGTCGGCAGCGATGATCCAGCCCACAATAATGCCAATGATACTCATGAACGAGAAAACGACCATATATAGCATCACGTGCGTCACAGGCATGGCACTCTGTACGAGTCCAGAGCCCAAAGCGAAGGCCGCCAGTCCCTTGTGCATGATAATTGCCATAAAAACTCCCCACGCTGTCTCCGTCTGAGCGCCAATGCCCAGTCCTTCCAGTACTGAGTGGAACGATAGAGCAATGAAAAGTACCATGGCTACAGCCATAGAACCGGCATCTGCCTCCTTCGGAGCACCACCGAAGTGCGAGTGGCCAGAACTGCGCCGCACATTACTGCCTAGTCCTTGTTCTTCTTCATCTAGATCTTCGAGGTACGTGTCGTCGCTCTCTGTGGCTCCGTGTAGCTCCTCATCGTCCTCGCTCTTGGCAGGCATGTAATTCTGAGCTGCGGCTTCGTTATTGGCGTCCATTTTGGCCTGCGCTGCCTGTTCTAGCAGTAAGAGACCGAGAAAACCCAACGTGCAGAACATTTCGGCGTATGGGAACTCGTAGCGACCCTCGTCCTCCGTGGACCATTTGCGTAATGCCGGGTTCTCGATGGCCGAGTGTAGCAAGTGGAAGAAGCCGCCAGCCAGGAATACGCCGCCAGAGAAGGCGCTGAGGATACTCAGCGTCGGGGACTTGTCGTGACGTGAGGCCAGACACGCAGGAATCAGACCACCGACGAGTCCGACGACCCAGATGCACACGATCGACACGAGCTTGAACACAGTCACGGGGTCCATTTTGGCTGGGAAATCCTTGCTAAGGATTTATTTATGGTGTGTCACACACCTTGATGAGCGAATCAGATGTACTGGTTCAACAAAGTGGTTTTAGACCAATGGAATCGATTCTTCAACGGCAAATTGGTTGCTGGTAATTTTTAAAATATATTACCAGAAACGTCTCTGCGGATTTCACTTACATGATTAAAAGTCATGCACAATATAAAGCGACTACACCCAGTCAAGCGCCACAGAGAAGTGGTGAGAGAGGGATTAGTCCAAAGATGACACTTTTTTGATGACGATGATGTACATCGCTCTCAGAATCTCACCCAGGCGATGATGACAAAATCGTAGAGTTGTATAGAATATTGCGACTTTGTCGTGGCTTAAAGAGTTACAGTTAGAACACCGAGATGGTCTTCCAGAAGCAAAGACGAAAGCGTGTTCATCGTGGGTCCGGTATGATGTACTCGTTTAAGTTACACCATCAGATATCGCATCGTGCTGGGTCTGGATCAACAGCAAAGCTGGCAGGTTCAGCTGACGTATCCAACGAAGGTATCATATTCAATGATACAGAGTTACGCCCGACTATTCGTGAGGGTAGTAGTCGTGGAAGTTTGCAATAGCAACAATCTAGATAAAACCTGATAAATTAGGATACATACCAATAGATAAATCATTTTTATACTTTGTTCCAGTGGTTCTCGTCATTTGACTGGGATAACCACTGTGTATCTTTTACTTTCATCTTTTAGAAAAATAAAAGGCTAGCAAGTGGATCCCTTGGGTTTTTGAGTCGCCAGGAAGCATTGCGTGCACTACTTGCAGACTTTGGTCGCTAAACTGCGCTCTAATTTTGGTTGAGTTGCCTCTTATCAGTCCGTAGCCTGAATCCGTTTGGAGATGTTTCGTAAGTATGGATGTATTTCACCTTACTGGGATATCCCTAAGTTTTATAAACAGCATTTCGCGTGTTAAGAACCAATACTTCAATACGCCAAGGGCTTTCCTTTGCATGGTGTAATACGGCAGCTCCTCTTTGTTTTAGGATGGCAGAGTAAATAAGGAGGTATTGCCTACGTAGTCTTTGCAAATTGTAGCCTACGAACGGCGTTTTTCGCCAAACGCATGTCGACAAATCTACGCTTTCTCTACGCAAAGCTTGCGGTAGCTGTGGTGATATTAATATCCGATAGATTCCCTCCCATCTCAAACTCAATCATATTGTACGGTTGAGTAAAAAAGTACACGTGCTTAGTAAGCGCGTTAGCAGTGCTTACTAAGCACTGGGTACCTCGCAAGCAGTAAGAAGTACGTTATGCAGTACTGATACATGTGTTTGATGAGCCGGGACGATCGCCTGCTGGAATACTTGGTCTTACAACTGATAATTGTTACGTTTGGGAAATTGAATTTCTTGTGTGCTCAGTGCAATTGCCATCCAAAATATGATGATCCTTGCATTATTAATACGTGTGCTGGCCTAGACACACTGACAGCAAAAGGCAAAGGCAAAACTTGCCAGCAACAACTGTACGAATTGTCTGATTGCGTACGGAATGGCTTTCCCGCAACATTGAGGACATCATGGCTGCTGAGACAAGAAAATTAATAACCTTTATCTTGTCATGTCCTTGGTTTCAATTTCTTTCTGTAATCATCCTATAATATCTCATTAACTTGGGAAATGTATGGATTCAGTATTTGCATCCTATGTTGCTATCCTTCTCCCACCGTTGAACAAAGTACGTGTTCTTCTTCTCCCCACTTTTGAATCCGTCACGCAAAGAGCATGTCTCCCCGAGTTGCCACGACCAAGCCAGGCCCTCCTCCATACGACCAGCTCGTGCTCATGTAACGTGTTTCAAGTGAATGGTTAAGTGGTTATCAAAGGCATGCCTCTAACTGCTGTTTCTGCTGCGCAGTGGTGAGAAGTGTCTGTCGTTCGTGCACGAGAATGCCAAACAAGGCGACCCCAAGTCTGTTCTGGAAGCCATCGACACGTTCGGCTATGAACACCATTGGATGATGAACGTCGGAGATGTCAAAGGAGAGCTCATAGACGAGGAGTTAGAGAAAGTCAAGCCAAAGGTTTACAGTTTAGAGTCTATCATAGTATCCATGTCGGAGTTAACAGTCACATGGTTGTGCAGGTTTTGGTGGAGCTTGGCGGCCATCTCGGCTATAGCGCCGTGCGCTTTGCCAGCAAGATGCGCGAGCTCTCTGGCCCCTCTGCCCATGTTTACTCCTTCGAGATCTCGTCAGACTTCGCAGCCATTGCCACCAAGGTATAATATGCGTGGTACTATGGGGCAACTATAACATTACGAGCACGTAAAATACGTTACAGATGATCGAATTCGCTGGACTGTCGGACATGGTGACGATCATTATCGGGACGTACGGAGACAACTACAACAAGCTCAAGGAGAGAGGTGTCGAGCACGTTGATGTACGTTCGATAAGGAAAAGTTTGCACGACTTTCTCGCCTTATATTGACGTGGCTTGTACATTTGCAGGTGTTTTTCATCGACCACGACAAGAAACTCTACAAGAGCGACTTGATAATCATCGAGCAGAGCGGAATGCTTCGATCGGTAAGAAATTTAGTCAGTAAAAACCCACAGCAGAGTATGTTGCTGATGCCAGAATGACGGTTGTGTTCAGGGATCCGTCGTGGTGGCCGACAATGTCGTCTACGCTCATATCAGCGACTACCTCGACTACATCCGCGGACATCCCCACTTCAAGTCTGTACTTCGCGAGTCCTTGCTCGAGTACTCTGACATTAAGGACGCGATCGAGGTCTCCACGTACGTCGAGTAAAGCGACAAAGCATCCGTCTTCCTGCGTCGTTAACAATTCATTTCACGTTAAAAAAAAATAACATTTTCAGTTATCAACGTCTGCATGTTATTATCTTTGTCATTCGACTGATAAAAAGTCCTCTTTTCAGTAATTTATTACTGCTTGGGGGTCGGCGCAGGACGAGCAGGTTCCGGGGACAGCACAATCTTGTCCTTGATCATTCCCCACGGGGCCATCGTCACGAGCTCCTCAGCGGCCGTCGGGTGGATGGCCACGATGTTGTCGAAGTCGGCCTTAGTAGCGTTCATCTTGACGGCCACTCCGAAGCCCTGGATCATCTCGTCGGCGCCCTCGCCGGCCACATGGACACCCACCACCGTCTCCTTCTCTCCGACAGTCACGAGCTTCATGGCCGTCTTGCCCTTACGCTCCGGGTCGGCCATCGAGTGCAGCAAGTTGACAAATTTACTAGTGTAAACCTTGATATTCTCCTCTCCGTACTTGGCAATGGCCTCAGGCTCAGTGTAGCCAATCGTGCCAATAGGAGGGTGGCTGAAGATGACTGTAGGGATCTGGTGGTAGTTCAGACACGCGTCCTTCTCGCCTCCAAAGAGACGATCAGACAGACGACGGCCGGCCGCGATGGCCACGGGCGTCAGCTCCCAACCAGTCACAGTCGCGTCACCGATTGCGTACACTCCAGGCACCGACGTGTTCTCCTGGGCGTCCACCTCAATGAATCCGCCTTCCGAGAGTTTCACGCCGATCTCTTCCAGGCCCAAATCCTTCGTACGCGGCTCACGGCCAATAGCGAACACGATCGTGTCAAAGTCCGCGAACTTCTGCTCCTCTCCGTTGACTGTCACGACGAACGTGAGCTTGCCATTTTCCTGCTTCTCCACGCGGACAGCGCGTGAGTTTCGCACAAACTTAACGCCGGCCTTCTCCATCTCCTCGTTGACCAAGTCACGGACAATGGGGTCGAACTTACGCAGCACCTGGTCGTAGCGACAGAAGAGCGTCGTGTCGCTCTTAAGTACGTTAAAGATACCGGCCAGCTCCACAGCGATGTAGCCAGCGCCCACGACGGCCACCTTCTTGGGTTGCTGCTCCAGTTTGAAGAAGCCGTCGCTGTCAATCACGTGCTCCATACCAGGCAGGTCCGGGATGGTGGGGACGCCGCCGGGTGCCACCAGAACGTGCTTGCCGGTGTACACCTGGCCGGCTACCTCGATCTTGTCCTTGGCCACCAGCTTGGCGATGCCCTGCACGTGGTCCACCTTGGCATTGCCCAGGTTGCGCTCGTAAATGCCGTTCAGACGCTTAATGTACGCGTCCCGTTTAGTCTTCATGTTGCCCCAGTCGAAGTCGCCGAACTCGAAGTCCTTGCTGGCCGTGTTGATGCTATAGTCCTTGTTGCGGTTCAGGTGCTCCACGTGGGCGGCCGTGTTGAACATGACCTTCTTGGGCACGCAGCCGAAGTTGACACAGGTGCCGCCCAGACCCATGCCGTCGAACTCGCGGCCGCGCTCTACGACGAGGACCTTGGCCCCGAATGTGGCCGCACGTCTGGCCGAGGCCATGCCGCCGCTGCCGCCGCCGATCACCATGTAGTCGTACACGACGTCTGTGCTCATGATTGGATATAAAGTGACTTGAGCTCTAGGGAGAGTTTTAGATTGTGACGTCAGCCGAAGATCGGTTTGAAAATGAGAGAAGAGTTCTGTGCAATCACAGAGCGGTATACGTAATCGCATTAGCCAATTGGAAGAGAGGAAAGTGATGCGTGGACCACATTGATTCAGGGTCGGAAGCGGTGGGACAGAGCAAGGTGATGATGATGTGCCAACACTTCGCCATCGGACTTAAATGATGTGGATGCAATATGCCGTGAACGTATACGTCGTATTGCAAGCCTTGTGCTGTAATGTCCGTCGGTCGGATTCTTCTCTGCAGACAGTCTCATCTTCCTCTTAATGCAAAACACAAAGGTTGCTTTAGTAACGAAAAGTGCTCTCACGTCGCAGATATGATTGCGTAACA